CCGGAGGAGCCCAGCCCATGCGTGGGACATCGACAGGAGGCCCCTGGTCCTGGGAGGATCCACTGGCAACGCCACGGGGAGACAGAGAAAGAGCGCGAGAGCGAGAAGACGACTGCCGAGCGGGCGGGGGTGCGTGTTTGTTTGGGGCCCTTCGGACGCGGAGGGCCGGTCCGGGGCTCACGCAAGGGGATGGGGGGCGCCGGGAGTCCGGATGGTTCCCCCAGGGGCAGGCCGGCTGAGGCATGCCTGACCAGGGGGCCAGCCGGTCGATTTAGGCCCGGCCGCCCTGCCTGCCGCCAGTGCGCGGGCCCCCCGCCGGCCCACCCGGCTGGCCCCTCAGCGGAGGCTCGTCAAGTGCGTTGGGGCTTGTCGGGTGGAATTATCCGCCGCCCGGAGCCGGGCTTGGTCCCAGGATCGTTGGGGGCGCGGCCCGGCGGCCGGCGCGCCTTTCGGGGGTGCGGTGCAGGGGCGCCCCGGCGGTCGGTGGCGCGACCGGGGATGCTTTGCGAATGGGGATCCTGAAACGTCGGCCTCGCCCCTCGGCCGCGCAAAGGCTCAGCCCCTGAGTCAAGATCGGGCGACCTTCCACAGTCGGCCGGGCACAGGACCGGGGGGGGGAACAAAAGCGAGGGGACGAAAAAACGCCGAGGGCCGGAGGGGGAAAATATATGTGCTCATTGGGTGGATCGAACACCCGACCTCCAGTTTACTAGACTGGCGCTCTACCACTGAGCTAAACGAGCGGCTATGATTCAGCACGGCCCTGTGAGTGCTAATAAATCACCGAGGAGAGGGCGGGCGCTCGGAGGAATATCACTGGGTGGGCGCTTTGGCTGGCCTTTCCCAAAGAAGAAAAAAGCCGTCCCTCGGTGATTGTTGCGTGGTATGGCGTTTGGCTCAATTGTTATTCTTTTATTTTTCGGCATTATTGGTCGTTTTTCTTTTCTGCGGGACCGGGCCCGGATGTGGCACCGCGGGCATTTCCCCCACCGTGACTCGGCATGCATGTGTGTGTGTGTGAGCGCATGCGTATGTGCATGCGTGCGGAACCAGGGGGGAACCCGCCCGGTCGCGCGAGTTTAAGGCCCCACCCCCCCCCGGGCCCCTCGGTCCGGATGAGCGCCTGTGATGTCCTTCGCCCTGTTGCGCGTTGCCTTCTTGCCCCTTGTGCGGCTCACTTGCCTCCGGCATGCCCCTCAGAGGGGGGTCCTTTTCGCCGCCATGTGTCCCTTGTCCCCCCCGCCTCCTGAGCTACTCGCCCCGGCGCGAATGGCCCCACACGGGGGTTACTCTTGGCCAGTCTGGGATCCTGGCATTCCCCCCCTCTTCCGGCGCTTGTTGCGGAGTTCCCCTCCCCCCCGCCTCTCTCTCTCTGCTCTCTCTCTGCTCTCTCTCTGCTCTCTCTCT